AGGATAATGGATACATCATGCAAACTAGTGTACCTGGGGATTGAACCACCACACCCCTGATTGGTTTATGACTTGATTTCCCTCCTGAAAGTAACGTCCCCATGTTTGTGCCTCTTTAAACAACAATAATACTTTTTGTTGAATAAAGTTTCTTTATTCATTACATGTCCATGTCATGTTACTTTTCGTTTTAAAGTAAAACTCCTTGTCGTATTAATACAATACATTCTGTTTTGCTATAAAAAAAAAAAAAATTCAACACCACAGTGTTTTGCAGGTTTCTTTTTCACATAAACATTTAGAGATTACATTACCAGTTATAACTCGAGAGGTTGGCATACAGTAAAAGGAAGCAAAAGATTTTTAAGTACTTCATCGTAAGAAAAACAAGTTCTTAATGTAATGAACAAATGAATTCCAGCAATGTTCCTCACAGTGTCTTCACATCAGTCGGAGAAAGTTCTCACCTCTAGAGTCTTCTGCCAGAACTCAAACACAGTGTTGGCCTCTTAGCTGTCAAGCCGATTAGTTAAATTTGGAGGTTTCAAAGAACGTTTAGAAAAAGATGGCTTTTGCTCATAAGGTTTCTGCTCCTCCGACATCTCTGGCAGTTTTCTTTACAGTTCCCATTTATTACCACAAAAAGACCAATACAGTGTCTGAGTATTCATAGCACAAAGGGTATAAATGCTCTTCTATGCCTTGGGTATGACTTGTATTTGCTAATGTAAAGGTCATGACAAAGCTGTCCTGCCAGTGCTTGGTTGAAGAGCACATACAGTACCACAAGCCACCAGGTGAAAGAGAGGCCTCTGAAAACAAAGCTCAACGAGATGTAGATCAGCAGCTCAGCAAAGTAATGGGGACAAGAAACCAGCTCAAACCAACCTCCCTTTGGCACTCTGTGAGTCAGCGTTTCCACTGTTCCTGCATGACACGACAAAAAACAAGAAAAAGTGACATCAGTAACTTTCAACGTTTAGACTGGTTTACCATTTCCAGTGTGTATCAGGTTAAAGCTGTGCTAATTAACAATTGATCAAATTACTGTCTGTTGTGAAATGTCTCACTCACAGCGCCAAACCCACAGAGAATTATCTCCCAGCTCTGCAGTTCCACTCAGCTCTCTGCAGCTTTTTAGCCTCCTTTAGCTAATGTTTTTTGAAATATTCATGCTTAAACATGGTCTCGGGTTTCAAAGAGCAAAAATAAAAAAATCAAATAAAAAATGGGTCAATTGGCCATTTTTCAAAAATATGTTTTGAAAAGTATTTGATACATAAATCTAAAATTTAACAAAAATCATTACATGTATCCTAACTTTGGACCATACGTTCTTTAGGAAAATATAAGCTGGTTGAGCTAAAGGCAATTTGGAGATGGGATGACTCATGTGCTTTATGGTTAACACATAAACAGAAAACAGACAGCAGAGGATGTTAACTTCAAGCTGTTAGTTCCTTCATCATTAATATGCAAATTCTCAGTGATAGCAATAATGCTGGAGGCAGCAAAGAAAAAACAAAGAAACAAAACAGAGAGACAGAGAGTTTCCTAGGTTTACCTGACTTTCCAGTGCGAAGTCTGGCCAGCAGGACCATAGACTGATGCTGCAGCCACGAGGCCCAAATGAAGAGTAAAAACCCAGCAACAAGCAGCCAATTCAGCTGAGAGAGGAGGGAGCTTCTCTCTAAAAGAAATGGTGGAAGCATCAGTACCACAAAGCAGATGAACCAGGGAATTATGCACATAGAAGCACACAGAAAGCACCAACTCAAACCTTTTTCCATACGATCACAGCAGAGGATCGTCAACCCTAACATGATATAATACCCCAGGCCGAACATATATTGTACCAAGTGCATCGCCCCA